CTAAGAAAATGAAAACACACCACTTATCAGGTCCTTCCTAAGTGCTGCATACCTCACAACTCTCTGTGGTGGTGAATATTATCTTTATAATTTAGGAGAGCAAAGCTCGAAGATTGAATAATGACCAGTTACACAGCTTGACAATGACCTAGCCTGAATATTTTTAAGAATGTGATTCTAAAGTTTTGTTTTTCCTAATTAAGCTGTGTTGTTAAAGAGGGAAACATTATTCTTCCAAATATTGTAGCTGATTTATCTTTTCCTTTCATGCCTTTTCCCCCAGTGTCCTTTGTTTCTTGTGACAAGGATCTCATTTGTCTCTTGCATTTCCTTTTCCTTTAGCTCTCAATTTAGGAATACACTGGCTCCAGAACACCCCTTCTTAGCAGGTCAAAAACTTGTCAAAATCCCAAGTACAGCGGAACTAGCAAATTTAGAAGTGAGGAAACTGCACCGACCATCTCTGAAAGGATACACAAGAACAGTACCTTTGAGGGCGCCTGGGTGGCTCAGGTGGTTAAGCGACTGCCTTCGGCTCAGGTCATGATCCCGGAGTCTTGGGATCGAGTCCCGCATCGGGCTCCCTGCTCAGCAGAGAGTCTGCTTCTCCCTCTGACCCAACCCCCTCTCATGCTCGCGCTCTCTCTCTCTCTCTTTCATTCTCTCAAAAAAAAAAAAAAAAAAGAACAGTACCTTTGAGAACTGGATGACTAGAAGACTAGTGGATAGAGGCAAACCTTACTCTGTGTGTGCGTGTGTGCATGTGTGTATGTATAATCTTGCATGGCTTGACTTTTTTTTTTAACACTATGTTCATGTATTACCTATTTTATTTTGTTTTTAAAGATCTTATTTATTTATTTATTTGAGAAAGAGAGAGAGCGCCAGTGGGAGGAGTAGAGGGGCAGGGAGAGGGAGAAAGCATCTGAAGCGGACTCCACACTGACTGGGGAGCCTGAGTGGGGCTCAGTCTCACGACCACAGGATCATGACCTGGGCCGAAATCAAGAGGGGGACACTTAACTGACCGAGCCACTCAGGCACCCTCATGTATTAGCTATTTTAAGGAGATGATTATTTAGAATGATGCCTATTAAAAAAGGCTTCTTGGTTATTTTGCATCTTGCGTGTCAGTTGATGTCCAGAGACTTGGGCTCTGGTTGCACCCTAGCTTCTGCCCTCCTACGAAAAGGGAGTTGATGTGATTACTTTTCATTAGCTGACTAGTAAAAACCACCTGATTTTTGTAAATATGGCCCGAGGATGCTCTAGCCCATCATTACATTTTCTAAATATCTTCAGTGTGAGCTTTACACGGTAGTACCATCTCAGCATTCAGAGAATTCAGTCTTGTGCCCACCTCCTCTACCTGGATAAATTCCTTGTAATAACTGTGTTTGATAATGTGTTCTGAGAATTCCCTTGGGAACAGAGTTCCTATTTCCAGTCTTGTTCATATTTGCCATGGGAAAAATGGGCCATTATTAATATTTTTATTTATATTACTTTTTCTTGACAGTACATTTCATTTAAATAACTAATCAGCTAATCTCTTTCCTAGAGACCTATCTTAACTTCAAAAAGCTAATTTTAACAAGTGAAGAACCTGCAGTATCTAGAAGTTTATTGGCCTGTCATGTGTCGATCATAAATAGGTACATTTTATTCCTTCACAGAATGATTTTCCAAATACAATCTATGGGAGAGACATAAAAATTGGTTAGCATGGACTTGTTAGTAGTGAATATAGGTCAGTTGACAAAGCTAACCTAACATATCACTGCAGCAAAAAACAAATCTTTGAGTTTGTGGCTTCCGTGGATTAATTTTCCTTGTCAGATAAAAGAATAAAGCAGTCGTAGTGGTGACAAAATGCACCTCTTAGTCTTTCCTTGGAGGTAACTTTCTTGAAGTTCTCTTGCATCTACTCAATGTAATAAATTTCTTCCTTTAATCTTGGATGATGAATAGCACCTTAAACACAGGTTACACAAACAGGCACCATTTCTTTATGGTACTTCACTTCCATTCCTTTTCCTTTTGCCACCCTAGGTTTATTGACATCCATGGTTCATGATTTTTTTGTTCCTTTCAAATGCAAAGAAGGCTGTGGGGTGGGACCTTTAAGATTAACTCAACTTCATTGCATATCAGAAGAAAAGTATGTTCACCTCCAAGAATTGAGGGGCACTGACAATAAAATGTGTTCCTTCATTTATTTCTTAGTAAGAACAATCATCCCCTTCCAGGTCTTCTCCCCGCTAACAATAATGTGCTCTTTAGAGCGAAGAGGACTTCTTTTGAAAATTCTTTCCTAGCAATGGGAGGTGATTGTTTTTCTCAGTCTTTCTCCTTACTCTCCCAAATCTGGAGTGTTTCCATCCACCAATTCAGACTAGCTTTACTTCATAAAATTGTCGTCAGGGAAGTAGGTTAACACTTTTGTTAGTGCTACTCTGTACATTGTACTGGAGTAAGTGCTAAATGACCGTACCAGAAGGACAATATGCTTTATGATTAATTAGAGAAACTGCAGCGCTCTCTCCCATATAAAGGTAATCTCTGCACCTGAGCTTTGATGCCTAACCTCTTTCACCCTTCTAGGAACCCACATATCAACCATGCCTATTTTCTCCTGATTACTCAATTAAATCCTTAGCAATTGAATCCTTTCCCAACATCATTTCAACATGCTCTAATCTAACCCAATTTAATTCAAACAAGAAAAACAAAACCCACTTTTGACCTATACTTCGTTTACTGCCTTATCCCTTTCTCACCTACAAAATCAAACTTATTTTGCACTTCAATCTCCATTTCCTCACCCCTGCTTTATTCTGGCCTCACTGCCCCCAAACAACTGTAGACAAGATGACTGAAGGCTTCCCATATCACTAAATCCAAGGCACTTTTTCTTGTTCTCATCCCAGTTGACAAGTAAGTAATGATCTTAGTAAGGACTTGACACTATTAGATGCTCCCTGCTTACTTCCAGAGAAACACTCTGCTGGCTTTCCTTAATTTGCTCTTAATTCTCTTACTGCTCCTTCTCTCTCTTGCAAGTTCATTTTCCTCTACAGGGCAGTCACTGTGGTAGTACCTCACTTGTTTCTAGGCCTTCTCACTCTAACTTGGTCCCAGCAATCTCATCCAAACCAGAAGCTTCATTTATACTGACAACTCTCAAACGAGTATTTCTAGGACAGTGTTCTCTGGCTTAACAGAAATGGGGTCGATTTGCTTCCAATATCTCTACATTGATTTCTAAACCTGCCCAGGGATGAAATGCTGTCCCCACCCACCTCTTCCAACTCCAAATAATAACACAATTACAGAAAACACTATCCTCCTCTCTAATCTAGCATCAAATCCTGTTGATTTTACTTCGTAAAAACTCAATCTTCCCTCTTCACCTCCACTGTCCCCACCCTCGTCAAGTCTCTTCATGTAAATTTTTTGTCCAAGAGCATTTTAATTCCATAATAAAAGTTTAACTAGCACTAAAGAGGGCTATATTTATTTGGGTTAAAATAATAATTAATACAACGTTTAAAACTGGTGTTCTGTAAGTCATTAGTTTCAATTTAAAAACCTTGTTATTCTCTTTCTGTAATCTAGACATATATAAATCTAAACATCACTTTGATTTTTGGTCTGTAAGCCTATTATTATACCCCTGACTGCACAGGGCATAGCATCATGCCTGGAACACAAAAAACACTTAATAAATGTTTGTTAGATAATTGAGTAATTGTTCAAAATTAGTTTCTTTTTCCCTTATATTCTCCCAACTTCCTCTAAGTAAAAATTGAGACTTTCTATTTTAATACTATTTTAATACTATTTAATACTTTGGTGTTACTCCTTTTCCTAAAAGTAGGCCAGAGTAAACAACTCAAATTCTAAACACAATGTTCTTGAATACTTCAAAAGAGCTAATCCAAGAGTCATCGTGTTTCTTCTTTTTTTAAGACCTGATCACTTTAAGATGATACTGAAAGGGTGTCTGACATGATCTTTGGGGACCGCTTTAAAATATTCCAGCAAAGGGGGCGCCTGGGTGGCTCAGTTGGTTAAGCGACTGCCTTCGGCTCAGGTCATGATCCTGGAGTCCCCGGATCGAATCCCACATCAGGCTCCCTGCTCAGCAGGGAGTCTGCTTCTCCCTCTGGCCCTCTTCCCCTCGTGCTATCTCTCATTCTCTCTCTCTCAAATAAATAAATAAAATCCTTAAAAAATAAATAAATAAATGAAAAAAAATAAAATAAAATATTCCAGCAAAGGAAAAAATGTTTACGGCGTGGTGGTGGTGACAGATACAAGAAGAGTGAAAAAAAAAATAATTTCTGAAATTCTGGAAGTTCATTATACTTTGAGATTCTCCTGAATAAAAAGTTTTAAATTTTTCAGATTTTTCTATTTTTTAACTCTCAGTACTCCCTTTTGCCTATTAATCTGAGACGGGTCCTGGTCTCAGTAGGAGGAAAACCGTACAACCAACCAGTCCTTTTGCAAACCTCTGCCTGTCCACTTGTGAACACACTAACTTATTAGAGATTTTATCTTTGCTGTATACATTATTAGCATGCAAGTATCTCTATATTTCATTTTAAAACAAAGGAAGTTGGCCTTCCACACAGATCTCGAGTTTCGGGGGTACTAAACCTCCCCCGATAGTATCCCACTCTTTATAACCAGAGTACCACAGTTCCTTCCAGAAACGGCCCTTTTGCCCCTCACGTCATGCGTTTCGCGGGGACAGTGCGGGGCGTCGCTAAACCGGCATTCCATGTCTCTGCCCTCCCCAGAGCAACTGGCTTCACTTCGCCCTCCTCGGGCCTCGGTTTCCAACGCGGAAAGAACGGCGGGGCGGTAGTACCCGGGCCCCCGCGGCCCCTCCCGGCCTGCCGGCAGCCCCGCCCCGAGGGCGGAGACCGGGCGGAGCAGCGCGCTCTCCTCCGCCTCCTCCCGACTCGCTGCTGCCCCGGGTGCTGGCGGCGCATGTGCCTGGCGCCCCCTCCCCGGCCCTGGATTCCACTCCCCCTCCGCTCGCGCTGCAGCCGCAGCCGCCTCCAGGCCCCGCGCCGCCTCCGGAGTCCATGGCCGGGACGCGCTGGGTGCTCGGGGCGCTGCTCCGGGGCTGCGGCTGCAACTGCAGCAGCTGCCGGCGCACCGGCGCCGCCTGCCTGCCTTTCTACTCGGCTGCCGGCTCCTTCCCCTCGGGCGTCTCGGGCCGTCGCCGCCTGCTGCTGCTGCTCGGGGCCGCCGCGGCCGCCGCCTCTAACACGCGGGGCCTCCAGTCCGGGCCTGCGTCCGCCGGGAGGCTGGCGGGGCCTCCCCCCGCGGCCGCCTCCGCCGCCGCCGCGGCCGCGGCTTCTTACCCGGCCCTGCGTGCCCCTCTGCTACCGCAGTCGCTGGCGGCGGCTGCGGGCCCGGCGCGGAGCTACAGCCAGGTATGTGGGCGCCGCGAGGGGCCGCGCGCAGGACCCTTCCCCGGTCGCGCGCCCGCGCGCCCGCGCCCCTCCGCGTGCGCCTCGCGTGCACGCCCGGGGATCCGCGGCACTCGCCGCCCCCCCCCCCCCCGCCCTCCCAGTCCTCCTATTGGGCCCCAGAACAAGGGACGCTCTCCCAGGCCTCGGGTTTTCTCCTTGTTTTGTTCTCTCGAGTCTCTGGTCGGTTGGGCAGTGTAAGTGTGGCTAGGGGTGAATGTTGAGGCCTTGTTCCCCGCCGGCCCATGGTAGGTTTTGTGAGGCTGTTGACGCCCCAACCCCGCATCCCTGTCGCTCTCCGCCCGCTGGTTGTGAAGTTGGGAGGCCAGACCCGCGGAGGGTTGGGAGTTTCCGTGCAGCCAGAGCTCTAGGCCTAGGCGGCCCTGGCGCGCCTCGCAGCCTGCTGATGGGAAGGTTCACGCACAGAAGAGTTACGTGGGCTGGGTCGGTGGGGAAGGAAGCTCGTCGCCAGCGCTCCCCTCTCTCCCGTGCCCCTGGGGGAAGGCCGGCTGCCCCATTTACTGAAGGTCACCTCTGCACTGCCACCTCCTTTAGCAGAAGGACCTTTAGGACCATGGGTCGCCGCCGACGGGGAGGACAGCGTGGAGACTGTGATATCGGGGTTGGGGGTGGCTAGAAGAGGGGACGCCTAGAGGTAAGGCCACGACTTGGGGACCCAGGAGTGAATCTTCTTTTTTAATGTCATTGTGTCCTTTAAGAACTCAGATTGCAAATATTTTGTGCCTTGTAGGAAGCTTTCTTTTCTGCTTGTTCCGTGGTATCTGGGAAATATCAGCTCACGTTTTGACTACCCAGCTCCTGATATCTTGGATCGTATTTACCTTAATTCAATCTGTGCTTCTCCTTGAACTTAGGGAAACTGGGAGGCTAATCAGCATGGCTTCTGTCTGCCAGTGGCTGAGCTAATTGATTTGAATCCTGGCCCAATACTTTGTGCTGCCCTTTTCGGTAAAAGCTTGTGGTGCGTGTGGAATTCTGGGAAAATGGGGAATGTTACCTTTATTTAAGAAACACAAACCATCTCTAATAAGCCTTTGCGAGCTAGCTACTCTCTTGATTTTTTTTCCTGTGAAATTGACTGTAATGATATCTGTTGAGCCTCTACTAGTGTTACACACTGCTTACGTTTATCATTGACTTCTTAAAATTTTATGTACGTCTTCGTGAAAATGATGGGAACGTACAAAGGAGTGAAGTATCTCCTTAGCACGATAGATTGCAAGTCACTTGACTTAAAGCCTGAGTTGTCTTTCCACATTGGTAATTGTAGTGCTTGTTGCATTTTTATGAAGTATGTAAAAGACATCTGCTAGAGGTTTACATTTATCATTGACTCCTTTTAGGTAGACTTAAGTCTTAACGTAAGCGGTGGGATGGTACAAAAGAATCTCTTTCTTTAGCCCAGTAGAGTGCAAGTCTTAAAACTTCAGTTGTCATTCCTGGTTATGGTTGTAGTGCTTATTGGAATCTTGTTAAATTCCAGTTTTTGCTTAGTCTTGTAAAATAGAGTTCTTTAGGTATGTTTCAGGCTCTGTCACCTTTTACAATCTTTACCTTACTCAGTTGGTCTGACTTACAGTTGACAGGTTACTCTTTCCAAGCACCCTGCTCTCTTGTTATTTTACCCACTCCGAAGTGTCTCTTATTAACTCTCTTTTGCCTGCTGGGTGAAGGGAACACTTTGAGCTTGACACTCAAGTCCCTCTGTTGTACGGTACCAAGTTCGTTTTGCCAGCTCATCTTCTTTGGCTCCTAATTGTACCCTGCAGTTTAGCCAAATGGGATTATTGCTGTTTTGCAAATGGGCTTTTGTTCATACTGCTGCTTCCCCTCACCTCTCAAACTGGAATGCCCAATCCTTTATGTATTGCTGTCAAAATTCTATGCTTCCTTTGAGGCTCCTCTTATATTATGTCTTGATTCTTCTGTTAGTGTTCTGTTTTGAATTCCTGTAATAACCTTGTATCTTAATTATAGCACATAAAGCTTCCTGTTTTGTAGTGCTTGTCTTAGTCTAAGATGGTAAGCTCTGTGAGATGAGAACCTAATAAGGCACACGATGAGTAGGAGGCACTCATATTTGTCCAATTGAAGGGACCCTCTTGTCCTGCCTTAACTAAAACACTATTTTTAGGTGTAATTTGGGACTGATGAATTTAAAAACAAGCCCTGAATAAAATTTATGTCCTGCCTAATCATTGGGATATGCCTGTTTGTTGCTTTCGAATGTACAATTTAAGCCAAAAAAGGATGAGTTAGATTTGTGAAGTTTATTTCTTGCCTCTGAAATAGTAACTGTCTCCTAAGAATAACATCCAGAGCATTGGTTTGCAGAAATAAATATTTTCTAAGTAAGGTTGTCAAAGAAGTATTTTTACATTTCTTCATTTCTCTTGGAAGGAGTCCAAAACTACCTACCTGGAAGACCTTCCACCTCTCCCTGAGTATGAATTGGCTTCATCCAAGCTAGGAGAAGAAGTGGATGATGTTTATCTCATTCGAGCTCAAGGACTGCCATGGTCATGCACTATAGAAGATGTGGTTAACTTTTTCTCAGGTATATTTTATGTATGTTTGGAAATATGTAATTTTGTTTGAGTACAAGGTAGTCTCTCACAACGTGGTAGAAACCAGTTTTCTCTGAAGTTTTAGTATGTACTTACCAAAAAACAAAACCAGTTAAGCATAGCTCTTTATGTAATACATACATTTAGAATACAAGATTGCTAAGTGTCAAGTGATACAATTTCCTTAATAACATTTTTGGAATGTTTACATATCTGTGAATAGTTTTTAAGTTCTGTATCTGACTGTGATTTTTAATTTTCCTTTTAAAAAGCTTTTAGAAAGGGGACGCTTGCGTGACTCAGTCGGTTAAGCGTTCGACTTGATTTCAGCTCAGGTCATGATTTCAGCTCATGATCTCAATCCTGGGATTGAGCCCCGAGTCTGACTCCATGCTCAGTGGGGAGTCTGCCTGATGATCTCTCCCTCTGCTTTCCCCAGCTTGCGCTTTCTCTCTCTCAAATAAATAAATAAAATCTTTAAAAAAAAAAAAAGGCTTTATTTATTTATTTATTAAATTTTTTTTTAAAAAGATTTTTATTTATTTATTTGACAAAGACACAGCGAGAGCAGGAACACAAGCAGGGGGAGTGGGAGAGGGAGAAGCAGGCTTCCTGCCAAGCAGGGAGCCTGATGTGGGGCTCAATTCTAGGACCCTGGGATCATGACCTGAGCTGAAGGGCAGCTGAGCCACCCAGGCGCCCTGTTTATTTTTTTAAAAAAAGATTTTATTCATTTATTTGAGAGAGAGCAGAGCAAGCCAGCAGTAGCCAGGGGAGGGGCAGAGGGACAAGCAGACTCCCTGCTGAGCACAAAGCTCTGCCCCTGGGCTCAATCCCAGGACCCTGAGATCAAGACCTGAGCCAAAGTCAGATGCTTAACCGACTTAGCCACCTAGGTGCCCCCCCAAAAAAGGCTTTTGAGAGGATGCCATCTTAAATGTTATAAAATGATGTAATAATATATTGAGTACCTTGATGTGCATAGCATTATGTGGGTCAAGTATTTTATGAAGCCATTTACCTCTTCAACTCTGCTGCCATTGTACGTATGCAGTATGGGGATCTTGGTAATGAAGAGGGGGCAAAGTTCAATTATGGTAACAAAATTATTCTTACAGGGTTTATTTTAAAGTTCCTATAGTTATGATTATGATAAAATAAGACACATATGTATAAACTTAAGCATATTTTAAACTTTGGATTTAAAACTGATTGTAGAAGCATTGGGAAGGACAATATATTTTATGTTGAGCTTGTTTGCTCTTTTAATGATCAGGAGATCATAAGCTTATGTACTAAGGTTTGCTCTCTTTTTCAAGAAAGTGGGAAATTTTATAGACTACCATCTCATTAGCATTTGGATGTCTTCAGTGATGGGGGTTTCTATAAAGAATATGATAGGCATTTTAGTCCATGCTTTCTTTTGTTGTTGGAATTGGAAGATTGCGTTCTAGCAACTTTTATAATTGAGCTAAAAGTTTGATTTCTGGTTTTGATTTTACTCCCATACTTTCAGACTGCAGAATCCGAAATGGTGAGAATGGAATACACTTCCTCTTAAACAGAGATGGGAAACGAAGGGGTGATGCCTTAATTGAAATGGAATCAGAGCAGGATGTGCAAAAAGCCTTAGAAAAGCATCGCATGTACATGGGACAACGATATGTGGAAGGTACGTGAAGTCATGTCCTGGCTTTTGTGATCAGTACCGTAGCCTGTGCTTCCCAGGGCGATTTCATTTGGTCCTTAGCAGTAATGAGGAGATAGATATTATGAATACACCCTTTTACAGGGTATGAAGATGAAACAGAGATAATCTCAGTTTCTTATCTATAAAATGAAGATGTTGACCAGGTTTACCTCACAGATTGTTTAAATAAGTCACAGGTGGCACACAGTAAATATTCAGTAAATGTCATTTGTTATTTTCTCCAGAGAAGTACGTAAAGATTAAAAATACTGATTTTTACCTTCTTGGATAACCCACTAAGTTTTTTTTTTTTTTTTAATGTCTTCTTCCTTTGCTATGTGAATTCTCATGCTTTCCGTGCTCTTTCTTTGCAGTGTATGAGATAAACAACGAAGATGTGGATGCCTTAATGAAGAGCCTGCAGGTCAAGTCTTCACCCGTGGTAAACGATGGAGTGGTTCGCTTGAGAGGACTTCCGTATAGTTGCAATGAGAAAGACATCGTAGACTTCTTTGCAGGTGCTTTTCAGTTATATCATGTTTGGGGCCTCATTTTTTTCCCTTATTGTTTCCTTTTGTATCTTAAATGAACCTCTTCCTAGGTAACTGCTTTCAGTTGTATTAGGTTCTTTAGGGGAGAACTCTTCACTTGTGTTAGGAATGTTTATAGATTATGTAAGTGTTTTGACCTATTATGCTAACCTTTGGAGGATGTCACATTTCAGAATTATTTCATGCAGGTTTATTTTACTGTTGAGGAAGTTAACCTTTTGCAAGAGTGGCCATATTTGTTTAAGACAGTAACAATTTATATCATTTAAAAGCATTATTGTCTAATTATTAGCTGTAAAAAATTTAACATTAGTAGTGATGTTAGTCTAAATTCCTGTTTCCCTTACTACATAATTAATGCCAAAAAAAAAAGATTGTGTGTTTTAGATGGACTGCATGAATCCTAAATATTCTAGAAATACAGATGTGTAGGTGTTACTAGCTTTGCCGCATAATGATTTCCCTCCCCTTTAGGCATGTATCCAGCTTAGAGACTAGCAAAACAGGCCTAACGTTTTACTAGTAAAATAAAAAAAATTACTAGTATGTGAATGAATATTAATCTTAATACATAAAAAAGGCTCCTGTTAGCAGCACTAATTTGTAATAATTTTGTGTCCTAGGACTGAATATAGTAGACATTACTTTTGTCATGGACTACAGAGGGAGAAGAAAAACAGGAGAAGCCTATGTGCAGTTTGAAGAACCAGAAATGGCCAACCAAGCTCTGTTGAAACATAGGGAAGAAATTGGTAACCGGTGAGTGAAGCAGATTCTAATAATGCTCAAGTATCATACGTTGGGTCATTTTGATGAATGCACTGTAGTAGAACTGTAAAAATTATCTACAGAAAAGTAGAATAGTATGATGACCTGTCCAATGCCCATCACTTAGAATTAAATTATTAACATTTGTTATATTTGCTTTCTCTGTTTTTTCAGTATGCATCTTTAAAAAACATTTTTTTATTAAAAAAATGTTTTTTTAAGGTTTTTATTTATTTGACAGACAGAGCACAAGTAGGCAGAGCAGCAGGCAGAGGGAGAGGGAGAAGAAGGCTCTCTGCTGAGCAGGGAGCCCTACTCGGAGCTCGATCCCAGGACCCTAGGATCATGATCTGAGCTGAAGGCAGCCGCTCAACGACTGAGCCACCCAGGTGCCCCTAAAAAACATTTTCTCATGTGATCCTAATATCATCACGTCTAACAAAATTAGCAGTAATTTATTGTCTAATGCCAGTCCATAGTCACACTTTCCCAATTATACCAAAATTGTCTTTTCAGAGTTTTTTTGTTTTGTTTTGTTTTTTGAGAGATAGCAAGAGAGAGAGAGAGAACTGAGCTGGGAGGAGAGGGAGAAGTAGGCTCCCTGCGAGCAAGGAGCCCAATGAGGAGCTCAATCCCAGGATCCTGGGATCATGACGTGGGCCGAAGGCAAGGGCTCAACTCACTGAGCCACCCAGGCACCACTCAGAGTTGTTATTTTATTTTTTTTTTTTTCTTCTGGTACCAGAATCTAGGTATGGGCCACACATGGCATTTGATAGTTATATCTACAATTCTCTTAAACTAGAGCAAGTCTCCTTCTTTATGTTTTTATTCCCTTCCCCTTTTCAAATGCAATTAACTTTTGAGGAAGTTGAGTCAATCACCCTGTACAATGTCTCATGTTTTATGTTGATCTTATTGCTTCTTCATGGTGTCACTTTGTTCCTTTGTATCTATTATTTCCTGAAAACTGGAAGTTAAAGCCAGAGTCTTGAATTGAATCAGGTTAGCATTTTGATACAGATACACTATAGGTATTGTTTTGTACTGCATATCACATCACATTGGATGCATGTAGTGTTGGATGGGTTCATTTGTGTCAAATTTGGAGGAGTACTCAAAAGTGTCAGACTTTAGATTGCTGTTTTGCTACTTTCTGGCTGTATTACTTGGCTCCTTTGAAGTTTAAAAAAAATGAAAAGCTATTTTAAAGCTATGTATTTCAGGATCTATGTATAGAATTGATTTAGAGGTCTTTATTAAATTTTTTAAAAATAAAAATGGTTTTGCAAAGCACCCTCTTCTCCCTTTTTTTTAGTACTCTTCACAGTTTCTTATAATATGTCTTAGAACAAACAAATCAGTGCTATGTTTTTATGTGGGAACATTATGGCAGTGTATAAATCTCTTCAATAAATTAAGTGGTGCCTATCTTTATAGATCTGTAAATACAAATGATTTTTGCAGTTCAAGCTTAATAACCTAATTGGAAAAGCAGTATTGAGGAAAAAAAACTGGTTTCAGAAGCTTGGATTTAATAAATAATTCCACTGCCAAGCAGGTAGCAAATTAGAATTGACATTTAGTTCATGAATTCTCATTGGCATCTTGTTGAAGTTCTGGAGGTTTTTAGCTCCTCATATACTCTGACTTAATATCTTACACAGATATCATTAATTTTCACAGAATTGACTTGTAAGGCTTTAAGAGATTGTTAACCAACTGTAAAAAACAAAAACCCTTCTTACCAGATATTTTCATACACACAATTAATCTTGGCATAGTTGTTCTCACGAAGTAAGTAAATACTGTTCAAATGTATATGAAGAAAGCTGTTATCTTGGGCAGGGGTGTGGGGGAGATTAAATCAGTGACATGTACTGTTGAGAATACTTTTCATGGACTAATATCTGTATCTAGTCTTACCTTGTCCCTCATCTGTTATCTTTGGACACTTGTGTTTCATAAGCTGTTGGAAATATATATGCATGTTTTATTTTATTTTATTTTATTTTATTTTTTATTTTTTTAAAGATTTTATTTATTTATTTGACAGAGAGATATAGTGAGAGCAGGAACACAAGCAGTGGGAGTGGGAGAGGGAGAAGCAGACTTCCCGCCGAGGAGGGAGCCCGATGTGGGGCTCGATCCCAGGCCCCTGGGATCATGACCCAAGCCGAAGGCAGACGCTTAATGACTGAGCCACCCAGGCGCCCCTGCATGTTTTATTTTAAATGACTTCAGTGTAAAGTGACTTTGCATTGTTTTACAATAGGTATATAGAGATATTTCCAAGCAGAAGGAATGAAGTCCGAACACATGTTGGTTCTCATAAGGGAAAGAAAATGGCATCTTCTCCTACTGCTAAGTATATAACTGAGCCAGAAATGGTCTTTGAAGAACATGAAGTAAATGAGGATATTCGACCCATGACAGCTTTTGAAAGTGAGAAGGAAATAGGTAAGAACCTGCATCTTATTGAGACTTACTGGATCTATTTTGTATGTTTTGATATTTAAAATATTTTTTATGACCATGTTGTATGGGATTATTAGATTTTAGGACCAGGGAATTCAGTTGGAAGATTTATCTGTCTTTGAGTGTAGTATGTACTTTGAATATGTGCAGAAGGGCTTAATATTTATTTCGTAAAGTTTTTTTATATAATCATTCTTGTGGTTTCTATATAAAAAGCTGGGTGGCACAGATATAATAAAAGAACATAAAATGTCATCATTTAAACTAAAGTGAGAAAAGAATGTAGAGGGCTGGAATGTTGACTAAAGAAGTTTTGTTTGCCTCTGTATTTAATTATTCCTCTGATTCCTAACCCAAAGTGACATGTGGACTCTTTGAAGTGTGATAAATCCTTTTTAAACTCACGCCATGGGGCGCCTGGGTGGCTCAGTTGGTTAGGCGACTGCCTTCGGCTCAGGTCATGATCCTGGAGTCCCAGGATCGAGTCCCGCATCGGGCTCCCTGTTCGGCGGGGAGTCTGCTTCTCCCTCTGACCCTCCCCCCCTTCATGTGCTTTCTCTCTCTCTCATTCTCTCTCAAATAAAAATAAATAAAATCTTTAAAAAAAAAATAAAAAAAAATAAACTCACGCCATGGTGGGGTGCCTGGGTGGCTCAGTGGGTTGAGCAGCAGACTCTTGATTTCTGCTCAGGTTGTGACCTGGGGTCCTGGGATTGAGCCCTGGGTTGGGCTCTGAGCTCAGCAGGGAGTCTCCTTCAGGATTCTCTCCCTCTGCCCCTCCCCACCGCTCTCTCACTCTCTCTCTCAAATAAATAAATCTTTAAACTCATGCCATGGGATTATCCCATTACCATATTTCTTTTTTTTTTGAGTGCCTGTAACCCAGAGAGTCGCTATTGCCTTTTATTTCCACTCACAATCATGTTTCCTTCTCACTATTCTTTTTTATTTTTTTTAAGATTTTATTTATTTGACAGAGACAGCAAGAGAGGGAACACAAGCAGGGGGAGTGGGAGAGGGTAGAAGCAGGCTTCCCACCAAGCATGGAGCCCGATGCGGGGCCTGATCCCAGGACCCCAGGATCATGACCTGAGCCGAAGGAAGACTCTCAACTGCCTGAGCCACCCAGGCGCCCCATCCTTCTCTCTATTCTTATATAAATATTTTTTTTTGTAATCTGGTAACGGTTTGAGGCACAAAATCTTTATGCTAAATCCTCATGGATGTTCAGGTGATACTTGTTAGGTGGCAGAAATGTCAGAACATTTTTGCTTCTTGGGTACGTGCACCCCGATGTTTATAGCAGCAGTGTCTACAATAGCCAAACTGTGGAAAGAGCCAAGATGTCCACTGACAGATGAATGGATAAAGAAGATGTGGTATATATATATACAGTGGAATATTACGCAGTCATCAAAAGGAGTGAGATCTTGCCATTTGCAGCGACGTGGATGGAACTGGAGAGTGTTATGCTGAGCGAAATATGTCAATGAGAGAAAGACATGTATCATATGACCTCACTGATATGAGGAATTCTTAATCTCAGGAAACAAACTGAGGGTTGCTGGAGTGGTGGGGGGTGGGAGGGATGGGGTGGCTGGTTGATAGACATTGGGGAGGGTATGTGCTATGGTGAGCGCTGTGAATTGTGTAAGACTGTTGAATCACAGATCTGTACCCCTAATACATTATATGTTAAAAAAAAAAAAAGCAGGAAGGGAAGAATGAAGGGGGGGGAAATCGGAGGGGGAGATGAACCATGAGAGACGATGGACTCTGAAAAACAAACAGGGTTCTAGAGGGGAGGGGGGTGGGAGGATGGGTTAGCCTGGTGATGGGTATTAAAGAGGGCACGTTCTGCATGGAGCACTGGGTGTTATACGCAAATAATCATGGAACACTACATCCAAAACTAATGATGTAATGTATGGTGATTAATATAACATAATAAAAAAAAATTAAAGCCCTTCCTTACTGGTTCAGGAAGAATTGAAGGTTTTGACAGAAAGGTCATACCTAATTATAATCTGTTAATAACTCTTGAAGCTCTTATGTTACTGACAGTGCTTTCTGTCCCACTTCTCAGAACTGCCTAAGGAGATGTCAGAAAAGCTTCCAGAGGCTGTTGATTTTGGAACTACATCTTCACTACATTTTGTCCACATGAGAGGATTGCCTTTCCAAGCTAATGCCCAAGACATTATAAACGTGTGTGGCAGTAAGATATCCAATCTCAATAGGTTTGAACAAAAAGTCTAAAACTGAACTGAACTTGGGAAAGATAGAGAAGAAAATATCCCATTTCTGTACTGTTTTTGACAGTAAGGTGGCATCTCCTTGGTTGTGGAAGCTTGTTTTCTTCAGCTGAGAAGTGTGGGCTTTATTACATTTTAAGGTCAAATGTATTATGATAAGAGGATTTTGTAGATAAAAAATAATAATGATGTAGCTTTAGTATTCAAAATAAGAAAGTTTGGTTTTTCTGTAAATTGGTTCAACCTACTCATTTTTGAGTTTAGGAAGCTGAGACTCAGGGAGTTTGTCACAGGGTGGTTATATACTAAACAAGAATCCCAGTGCTCCTTAATGCTTAGAAGCTTGTAGCCTTCATCGGGACTCCCTAATTTTTGAGAAAGGAATTTTAAAAATATTTTTATTTTATAACATAATGTATGAAAAGAAAGGGAAACAATAGCCATATTGACTTCATGAATTTGAGGACATATACTTAAGGTAGATCCAAACCTAGAATCTTCAGTTAGTAGTGGGTCCTCAAAGTTGTCTTCATTACTTCAAAAAGCCTGATAAGGATCCTATCTTTAACCAGACAAAGGTCACACAGTCTCATTGGAGCATTACATTCTGTTGCTTTGGTTTGAAATGATAACCACTCGGTGTGGTAGCTCTGTTCATGTAGTGCTGGTAAAAACTGATGAGCAGGCACATACCTGATGTAAAAGTGACTAAGAAATGAAGGATGGACACTCTTTAGAAACAGGAAAGGTTGTGTGTGGGAGGAGTAATAGAAGTGGTCCTTGTCGGCATAAGAAAGTTTGAGCACTCTTGCTGTATTGTGTGTTGTACAGTTTTTTTCTGTGAATAGATAGTTGAAATGTAACCTTGAGTTCTAACAGGATCAGAAAAGCCAGATGACATGGTAGATGTGTAACTACTTTGTTGCTTAAAGAGACTTTCTAAAAACAAATTTCTTGGGTGTATGAATCAGAGTCTGAAAGAAAAATGCAGAGCCTTAGACTTCTAGAAATTGCGCCTACTACCATTATATTCCTTTTAGCTTCTTTTGTTTGTTGTTTAGTTCTTTGCTCCGCTGAAGCCTGTTAGAATCACCATGGAATACAGTTCTAATGGGAAGGCCACTGGAGAAGCTGACGTGCACTTCGATACCCATGAGGATGCTGTTGCAGCTATGCTCAAGGATCGGTCCCATGTTCGTAAGTGCTGCCCATGGTTTTCATTGTCAATTTTGACGTCTGCCTTTGCCTTTCCCTGTTTTGGAGTTTGCCTAGAGCTTTTCCTTGGGAAAACTGCTGTGTTAATACTACTGAATCAAATGTAAAAAGGACAAAATGTTGTATTGTAATGAAAAACATTTGTTTGCTAATTGTCTTGCATATTTCTATGTAGAGGTAGGATTTTTTTTGCTTGTTTTTAATTTTGTTTTCGTTTTTAATTAGGAAATGTAATGGACAAAGGGTTTGAGTTGCTGTCTGAACTATGAGAAAATGACTATTATTTCTCCCTTTTCAGCTTTTTTTTTCCTAAAGATTTTATTTATTTATTTGAGAGAGAAAGAGAGAGAGCACATGAGAGGAGGGAGGGTCAGAGGGAGAAGCAGACTCCCTGCTGAGCAGGGAGCCTGATGCGGGGCTTGATCCTGGAACTGCAGGATCATGACCCGAGCTGGAGGCAGTCGCTTAACCAACGGAGCCACCCAGGCGCCCTCCCTTTTCACCTTCTTAAAATGAATCTTTTTTTGTCATTCTCAGACCATAGATATATTGAATTGTTCCTGAATTCATGTCCAAAGGGAAAATAAGACTTCCAGGGACTCCAGATAATAAGGTAAATTTAAGAGGTACAATTGTGAGAATTATTTTCAATTGATAAATTAAGCAATAACTCACTAATTTGTAATATGGGGGAGACGATTCTTTTTTTTTAAGATTTAATTATTTATTAGAGAGAGGAGGGGTGTGTGTGTGTGTGTGTGTGTGTGTGTGCAGGGCAAGGAGCAGGAGAGGGAGAAGCAGACTCAGTGCTGAGCACAGGGCCCGATGCAGAGCTCGATCCCAGGACCCTGAGGTCATGACTTGAGCCCACATCAAGAGTCAGACGCTCAGCCAACTGAGCCACCCAGGCGCCCCTTAATAATGATCAGACTAATCATGATAACTGAAACATCAAAATAAGGAATGAAAATCTCCTGGGAAATAGGATTCATTATGATTGTATAGTGGTTTTGGGTATTTTTCCCATATAGAATCTATTAGCATCATGCCCAATATTCATCCTGCTAGTGTGCCTAAAAATAATTTTTTACCTTTAATAGCTATAAATTATACTGAAAATGTGTTTATAGTGTTTTTCTTCCTATAAAATTTAAACACATTTCCTCAGTTCTAAGATATTAAAATGTTTAAAATGATATATTTGAAATTAGGGTGTATCATTATTATCAACACTTAATGTACCACTGTTTCTTTCTTAAAAACGTGTTATGAAAATAGTTTTCTGTCCTAGGAAGTACATGATTTCATAGAGTTAACTTAATGTGTGACGAATCTACTAAATGTGTTGGGGCCCCTCCTTTGACTAAGTGTTATGTGGTATCTTTTATTTCCCCATAAAATCTTTTAATGTATTATAATCATTTTTCTGTTTGTAGTGGTGCATTTGAGATAGTTAACTGTAATTTCTTGGAAATACAGGAGGCATTTCTTTACTGTAGTTGTCATAGGCTGTTTTTGGATATAAAGTCCCACAATCTTATGATGTTAAATATTAGCTAAAATCTGTGTAAAATATATTCTGTGCTTAACTCTGAAAATCTGTCTTTGTAGCAGGCTGTAAACACTAATGCCTAACTAATTTTCTTTACTGTAACTTAATGGATTTGTCACTAAATGGATTTACACTAAATCAGAAAAAAAAGTATTGGGGCACTTGGGTGGCTCATTCAGGTAAGTGTCTGACTCTTGATCTCAATCTCACAGTTGTGAGTTCAAGCCCCTCGTTGGGCTCCACGCTGGGCGTGAAGCCTACTTAAAAAAAAAAAATTAAATTTGTAATTTTAAATGGTCTGGGAAAGGGTATGGTAACACTTTCTCTTTATTTATTTTGTCTAAATGTGCAACATTTTGAGTAAATGTGCAACATTTTTCGTTTTATTTTCAGGATGAAGCAAGAAGCATTTCATTTGCACTTCTTTCTTGGACGTGGAATATAAAGTTCCAGTTTTGTAGCAGCAACTGCTAGAGGAAGGATTTGGGGGTTTTGGGTTAATTGCTTATAAGACAAATTACGTAGTGGACTGTTGAGAAAGGAAAAGGAAAGATTCAGTTTGAAATTATGAAATAAACCACAAATTTAAATTTTCGTTTGATCTGTTCAAGATCTGATTTAAAAATCTGGTTTTTATTACATATGATTAAACAGTTTGTTTTCATAGGAGATGTGTTACCCAATGAAAAGACTACATTTTTTTATTCAGCACTGTCCTTGAAAATCTTTCTCCCGTTTTACAAATGGTCTGTTGGAGGTTTTGTCCTTTTGCTTATAAATTAAGGCTTTGATGTAAAACTTCTCTGGAATGAGATACTGATTTATTTTAACCAAATACTCACCAAAGCAAGGAAAGGCTTCAGACCTTTGAATTATTAAGGTTTGGCAGAGTAGTTTTAATTTTAGGTGTATTAGATTACTTAGGTAGGAGTAGAAATTAAAAAAAAAAATACCACAGGTTAGTGAGTGTAAGTGACAACAATTTGGCAGTTTTACGTCTTTAGAATGTTTTGCCTTTCTAAGCCTGTGCTAAAGGCATTTGACTTTGGTGCCTGTATCCTTAAGGAGGGAAGTCTTGTCTCAACTTGAAAGTTCTCTGAACACTCACCCCCCCAACTTTTTTTTGACTGTGGGTAGACCTTAAGGGTGTTTGTTAGTCTCAAAACTGTGAAGTGACATGTCAGAACAGTCCTGACTGGTAAAGACATTAATGGCTTCACTTGAATTTAAAACCAGCTCCTGAGAGGAAAAAAAACCTGTCTCCTCATTTGCTTTTTTCAGTGGGATAGCACATCCCATATTTTAGGACAAGTAGGGGTGCCTTGCTTAAATAAAAATAGCATTTAATGTATAACTGTGTGAAGGTTTATGGATAAAGCTGTACTTCTGTCACATTGTGACAGTACCTTCTGCTTTAATATTAAACAGCTTGTTATTTAAATATTGGATCAAAATGGCTGGCTTCAAAATGTAGTCCTTAATAAACTAACTTTATGTGCACCTGTGTAGGAGAATCAAAGTCCTGTATACTTTCTTTGCCTTGTTCCTGTTCTCAGGGTGACGACTGCCGCATAGTTACCAGGAGATAAAATTCTAGTTCTTAAAATTGAATTAGCCCCAATTTCTGAGAGGTGATAATCTGGAAGAGAGATGACGTCTTCTCTCACTGAATACGTAACCATCTTTGATAGCCAGCTAAGATACGAGGTCACTGTACTGTAAGTAGCCAATAAATGAAGGCTTGTTTCAGGCTGCAGATTACCTAAGAGTATTTATTTTGGAGTGTGTGTATCAACCAAATATATTTTTGTTACGTCAAATCCTGGTATAGTATAAGAAGAAACTGTAATTTTCGTTTGTATTTTCATCATCCCATATGGACATGAGTTCATTAACCATCTTAACAATGTCAGTATTACTACTTACGTAGAAATGTGCTTTCATGTCTGGCTGAGTGTACCAAGCTATCAGAAGTGGTGTCTGTGGCTGTGTGATCTGTTAGAATATGATCTTTTCTCTGTTGAGCAGTAAGGTATTTAATTTGCTGTGGAAAAAATTAGGGACTGTTGGGATTGGGGTTGGTGAGAAATTAATTCATTTGCAATTACTTTATTTTAAAGCTAATGAATTTCATTTGTACGTCTCTAGGAAAAGAATGAGAGCAAAAGCATTAAGATGTTATGTGGTGGGAAAGCATGAAGGTGGCGAGGGGTGTCTTGCTACGCTAGTGGCTGAGTGCTCACTACAAGGGCTGGCCGTTCTTGGGAAGTCATCTTAGGACTTCGAGTATTTTACTCCTTTAGTAGGCATAATTCAGGCTAGTAAGTGAGTGATTGCTGAGAAGGCAGATGTAGCTACTGGAAGGATCTCCAGAAAAGCATGTAATAGATTACAAGTGATCTTTTCTTTTCATCCAGTCAAAAGACATACTTCTGTCTCCCAAAATTTGACAAAACTGGGTTGCATATTATCATTAGCTATTGAAAGAAGTTATGATGGTGTATTTTGCTCTTGTGTTTGGGTCCTTTGTGTCTTTATAGTCTCTTTGGTGATAAAGCTATAAAAAACTAGCGGGTTTAGACCCAGGCAGGTTACCCATCTTGCTGTGGCTAGCCACTTGAATTGCAACAGGGCAACTCTGATAAGTAGCTTGTAGATACCAAGGAGGAGATTGTGATCTGACTGAGACACTCACTGATGTTAGAGAACGAAGCAGAACCAGAGTGGGTGAATGAGGCTTCTGCCATGTGGGAAGGGAGACTGAATCCACTGTGGCATGTGAAGGCTCTAAATCCTCACTGCTTCTGTGGTGTGGGGAGGAGGAAGCAGGAGAAGGCCACTTAGAGCCACGTGCCATTTTGAGGCAAAGGCCCTGCTTATTATTAGCATGCCCTATTGGCATCCTCTGCCACGAACAGTCCTTCAACAGATTCTCATTTGGAGTTTTTTCTCTGGGTTATATCCTATTCATCTTACAATTTAAAACACTCCATTGTTTTAAGAGTTTCCCCTAAATTATGTGAAAGCGTTCACATTCAACTGGCAGGACCTGTGTTATGGAGTAGAATGGTGTATCTCAGCAGTAAAGTAGAAACAGGCCTCAGTGCCAGAGGCTTTGAAAAAAAGTGCTGTCATGTAGTAGGAATACATTTTCCCTCAATTCAGATTAGGAAAGAATCTCTGAGGTTTGTAGGAAGGGAATAAAGCTGCTATAAACATTCATGTGTAGGTTTTTGTGTGTACATAAGATTTCAACTCATTGGGGTAAATACCAAGGAGTACGATTGCTGGATCATATGGTAAGACTATGTTTAGTTTTGTAAGAAACTGCCAAACTTCCAAGGTAACTGTGTCATTTTGCATTCCCACTAGCAATGAATGAGAGTTCCTGCAGCAGTTCATTCTTGTCAGCATTGAGTGTTGTCAGTGTTTTGAATTTGAGCTATTGTAATAGGTGTTTACTCGTTATCTTGTTTTATTTTGCAATTCCATAATGACCTAAGATGGTGAGCATCTTTTTTATATATTTATTTGCATCTGCATATTGTCTCTGGTGAGATGTATGTTTAGATCTTCTGCCCAGCTTTTTAGTTAGGTGGTTTTCTTACTGAATTTTAGGACAGGTTTAGTTTGGTTCTTAAACCTTGATGATATGAAAATAAATGGTGGGGTAATTTGTAAATTGTTCATATTTTATTTTTTGAATGAAATAAAATTCGAGGGATATGAAGGGAAGCATATACAGTGAAGTCTCCCTCCCATCCTATACTTCAGCCACTTGGTTCCCCTACTCAGGCAGCCCTGTCATCAGTTTCCAGTGTAAACTTGCAGTGATATTTACTGTATAGATAAACAAATGTTTAATAGACATTTTCATTTTTAAAAAATACAAGTTATAGCATACTATACATGCTGTTCTGTGCCATTTTTTCCATTTAATACATCCCAAAGATCATTTTATATCCATATATAAAATCGTCTCATTTTTTTTTAAAGTGTACAGTATGGATGTACGTAATTTAACCTGTCCCTTACTGGTGAACAGGTGAATTGTTTCCAGTCTTTTGCTATTGTATGCTGAAATGAATTATGTATAAATTTATGTCATTTTGTACATACATAAACTTCTCTAGGATAAATGGTCAGAGTTTGTGCACTTGTAATTTATATCTAAAATTAAACTTATATCAATAATTTGTTTTTTCTTAGTTTATACCAGCAACGCAAGTGCCCATTTTCCCATAGCCTCACTAACACAGCATAATTAGCAATCTATTTGCCAATCTGGTTTAGGGAAACCCGCGGTGGTATTCTCTTACGAGGTAGCATTTCATGTTTAAGATTTTCCGTGAATTGTCTTCATATCCCGTCCCCACCCCCATGATCTCCCTCTACTTATTGTCCTCACATTAATCCTAAGTCCCAGGCATGGCATCACTTTATCTGAATATACTTCAGTATACATCTCTTCTTTAAAAAGGACTTAAAAAAAAACACCATTTCTAAAAATACTAATTTCTTATCACAAATATCTATCTGAAAAGTAATTGTTTAAAAAGTTTATTTGAATCAGGATCTAAACAACAATCCACACATTGCATTTGGTTATTATGACTCCCCTGCAACATTTTTCAATAAAAAATTTCAAGTATACAGAATAGTTAAATTATAAACGTGTATACCTACACCTAGATTCTACAAGTAATATTTTGTCATATTCTCTGCATCGTGTTATATCCTTCCATCAATCTGTCTTTTTTTCTTTATAGATATCAAAGTTGTAGACATACTTGACTCTTGAGCTTTTTGAAATACATACTGTTAGAGTTTTTTTTCTTGAGGTAAAATTTACAGTGAACAAATGTTAAGTGTACCTACCACGTGATGAGTTTTAATGTACAACTGTGTAACACAAACCTCTAGCAAGCTATGGAACATTTCCATCACATCAGAAAATTTCTTTACCCAGTCAAGTCCTGCACCTCTCCCGTCCCTTCTGCCTGTTAGGATTTTGTTTTTACCATAGATTGGTTGACCTATTCTAGAACTTCGTATAAATGGGATCATACAGTATGTATTCTTGTGTAAATTTTCACTCCGCATGTTTTGAGATTTCATCTATATGTTTCAGTTCTTTGTTCCTTTTTCATTGCCGAGTAGTATTCCATTGTAGGAAAATACCACAGTTTAACCTTTTCACTTAGATGAACAACTGATGGACAATGGGCTGTTTCTAGTTTTTGGCTTTTATGAATAAAGTTGCTATGAACGTTCTTGTGCAAGCCTTTTTGTGGATCTACGTTTTAATTTCTTTTGGGTAGTACTTAGTTGAATATCCTGAGTTGTAAGATTGATATATTTTTAATTTTACTAGCAATTGACATATTTTTTTCTAAAGTCATCTTTTTTTGTAAAACCAGCAATATGAGAGTTCCAATAGGTCCACATCCTCACCGTTTGGTTCCAGCTTGTAATTTTAGCCACTCTGTGTGTAGTGGTATCTCATTGTGGTTTTAATTTGCTGTTCATCACAGTTGATGATAATGAACATTTTTTCATAAGCTTATTGGCCATACAAATATCTTCTTTAGTGAAGATGAAGTGCCTATTATTTCTTTTAATCTGTGTGTTTCCCCTTCCATTTCTTTTGCCCTTATTTGAAGAAATAAGATTAACTTGTAGAGGTTTCCACAAACTGAATTTTGCCAGTTGCCTTTCGGGGATATTTATTGACCACTTTTCTATTGTGTTTGTTTTTTTTTCTTAATAGGAACCCTTTATTCTTGCAGTGAGCTAACTAAATACCTTTCCCCTCAGCGCTTTGTCATTTTGTTTGCTTATCATGGCAGAAATTATTTTTATGTGGTGTAATTCTTATTTATTATTTTGGAGAGCATGCGAGTAGGGGGAGGGGCAGCAGGAGAGGGAGAGAGAATCCCAAGCCGACTCCATGCTGACCGTGGAGTGCGACATGGGTCTTGATCTCATGACTCTGAGATGACCTGAGCCAAAATCAAGAGGCAGATGCTCAACCAGCTGAGCCATCCACGCACCCCTGTGTGGTGCAACTCTTAAATCTCCCCTTTTATGGCTGCTAGGCTTTGTGTCAGAATTAGGTCATTAGAGTGAAATGATTTTGAAAGTACCGGGTGAAAAGACATGGAAACCAAGGTAGACGAGAATGTGAATGGATTCAGTGAAACAAGGATCACCATGGTATATTTAAGAAAAAGTCTTTAAAATGATCCTGACTGAATTTGAAGTCCATAGGTGAAATTTCACAAGTATATTCAAAGACGTGTGGTCCCAAAACATACCTGGTTCTAACTGAACTAAAGAGGCTCTCAACCTTTCTTTCTGTCACTTGGCAATATCATTCATTTCTTGGTCTCTTCAAGAAAGCAAGTGGGAGAATACAAGTTTTAATATTGGGTAATTTTTATTTTATTTTTATTTTATTTTTTTTTAAAGACTTTATTTGACAGAGAGAGACAGCGAGAGAGGGAACACAAGCAGGGGGAGTGGGAGAGGGAGAAGCAGGTTCCCCACTGAGTAGGGAGCCCCATGTGGGACTCGATCCCAGGACCCTCAGCCGCTTAACGACTGAGCCACCCAGGCGCCCAATATTGGGCTAATTTTTAACCTGCTTTAACTTACAAGAATAAATTATTATTATTTAAATTTTTTTTAAGATTTTATTTATTCATGGGGAGAGAGAGAGAGAGAGAGCGCGAGCCTATCTTGCCTGTTGGAGGCCTGAGTGCTCTCTCTTTACCAAGCTTAATTATTAACTCTTAGGAATCTGACATCCTCAGCAATGCTTACAACTGGTCACTGGCTCTATTTTTTAACTAATTCTCTATTTCAGTATGCTGTCTTTGAATAAAATTTGCCTTTTATTCTAGGTGTAGAAATTGTACATGTCAGATATTTGATTTCTGATTTGGTAGACATACTTACAAAGTTCTCTTATCCAAAAATAATATGTTAACAAAATTAATTGTCCTCAGGGATGTTGAGAATAAAAGATTTTGATAATTGACAAATCCCCAAGCCAACAAATGTCTTGTCTAACAAACCTTAAGATTTGACTTGAGGGACCTTTAAGGGGACATATTAGGCCAAATTATTTAAAAGGTGTTTTACTATAAGTCAAAACATGGTCACTTCTGAAATACAATTGTTTAAAAAGGGCCTACATTACATTTAGTCGTCATGTCTCTTTAATCTCTGACTTTTTTGTTTCTGACGACCTTGACAATTTTAAGGAGTACTGACTGGTCAGGTATGTTGTAGAATGTCCCTCAATTGGAGTTTTCTGAGGTTTTTCTCATGGTTACAGTGGGGTTATAGGATTTGGGGAGGAAGAACACAAGGGTGTCATTTTCACTACATCTTATGAAAGATTCATGTTATCAGCATGACTATCACATCAATTTTGATCACCTGGCCAAGATGGTGTTTACTAGGTGACTATATATAAATTTCCTTTTTTCTTTTTCTATACTGTCCTTTTTTTTAAATTGTACTTTCTATATTGTGCAAGTTACTAAGCACAGCCCACATTCAAGAGGTGGGAAGTTAAATAGCTACAAAATCATTTGGAATTTTTCTGTGTAGATGTGCCACTTCTCCCTCATTTATAATCTTTTATATCAGTATGGGCTCAGATATTTTGTACTTTGGCTCATAATCCTATGCTACATTATTTTGTTGCTCAGTTTCAGCTTTGGCCACTGGGAGCTTTTTATTGGCTTCTGTATCCCTTCAATGTCTCCCATCCCTTGGCTTTTATGCTGCTACCTCCTTACTTTCTGGCATTACAGATGTCCCAGACCTAGCATCAGCTGTTTTTTCAAAGAGCCCTGGTCCCTTTTAGTGGATAATGGTGTTAGAAACCAAGCTTTATGAGGTGCCTGGCTGGCTCAGTCATTAAGCCTCTGCCTTCGGCTCAGGTCATGATCCCAGGGTCCTGGGATCAAGCCCCGCATCGGGCTCCCTGCTCAGTGGGGAGCCTGCTTCTCCCTCTCCATCTGCCTGCCACTCCCCCTGCTGTGCTGTCAAATAAAATCTTAAAAAACAAAAACAAACCCAAGCTTTAGTTTCTAATGAGAGATTCGATATTGGGTTGTGCCCACTGCTACTGAGTGTTGGCTTCTAGACCCTCTCAGCAGAGCTGTGTACGAACCCATATTCATCGTCCCCCTTCCCTCAACGCCTGGCAGCGACCATTCTACTGTGTCTGAATTCGACGGCGCTAGGGACCTCACGCAAGTGGAGTCCTATCTGTCCTTCTGTGACTGGCTTGTTTTCACTTCTAATGTCCCCAAGGTTCATCTGTGTAGTAGTATGTTTCAGAATTTCCGTTCTAAGGCAGAGTAATACTCCATTGTGTGTATCTACTGCATTGTTTCTTCTTTCACTGGTGGACGCTTGGGGTGCTTCCCCTTTCGGCGATTGTAAACGCTGCCATGAACATAGGTGTAGAAGTATGTTTGAGTCCCTGCTCCCACCCGAAGGGGAATTGCTGGTACTACCTGGCGATCGCAGTTGCTTCAGGACCCGTCCTACTGTCCTGCGGCGGCCGCGCTACTAGCAGCCACACACAGGAGTTCCAGTTTCTCGACGATTCTGATCAAAGTCCAACCCATGCTATTTTGGTGGTTGTTGCCTGTGCTCTTGGTGTCTTACCCAATAAACTAGTGCCAAATCGAATGTCACACTCTTTCCCGGTTTTTTTTTTTTTCCCCCGAGTTCTAGTTCTAGCTCGTTTCGATCTTTGAACCATTTTGAGTTAATATCTGTATGTGTTGTAGTAGAGGTCCCGCTTCTTTTCCCTAGCATGTGGGCATCCAGTTTTCCCAACGCGTTTGTTGAAGACTGTCCTTCAAGCCCCTTCTGGTCTTGGCACCCTTCTAAAACATCATTAGACCATATATGTGAAGGTTTATTTCTAAGCTCTCCTATTCCATTGGTCTATGTTTTTATGCCAGTACCATACTATTTTTTTTTTTTACCATACTGTTTTGATCACTAGCTTTGTACTAAGTTTTGATGTCAGAAGTGAGACCTCCAACTTTGTTCTTGTCCAGGATTGTTTTGGTTATTTGGGTGTCCCCTGAGATTCCATATAAATTTAGAATGGATGCTTCTATTTCTGCAAAAAAATACTGGGATTTTTGATAGGATTACACGGAATCTGTAAATGGTTTTGGGTAATACTGGCATCTTAACAATATTAAGTCTTCCAATTAATAAACATGGGGTATCCTCCCACTTGTTGTGATCTTTAATTTCTTTAGGCTTTAGTGTACAAATCTTCTGCCTCTGGGTTGTTTATTCCTAAGAATGGTATTCTTGTTGATGCTACCCTGTGAATAGTGGAAAGCACAATTTTTAAGGAAGACAGATCTAACATGAATTCAAGGCATTCATGACTTGGTTCTCTTGCTTTTGCGGACAGCTTCACTAATAGATCTCTGGAGTTTTGTTGGGAAAAAAAAAAACTCTTATGTGTGACTTTATGTGTGAGTCACAATAAAATCTCAAGTGGCTAATTACATATTCTTCCTCACATTCCAGGTAGAGCTGCCTCTTTTCAATTTGATTCAAAACTAATTATAAAATAGCTTTTGCTAATTTAGGGTAATTCTCCACATTACCTGTGTAGCACCTAGAACAGTGCTGAAAACCTGTAGGTGGCCAAAAATAAGATGAAGAATCACACACACACACACAATATTACTTAAAGGGAAAAAAACACTCAAAAACCTAGGCTAGAATTATTAGATTTATTTTTCCCTAGTACTCTTAAAGCTCAGCTGCACCATATAATAGGCCAGACTTCCGGAATAACAACTCTTTCCCAGGCTATAACCCTTTTGAGGAGAATTTATCAAGTATCATGGTTCCAGGATGTTTCCACCCCAGAATTCTAAACCAGTTACAGAATCATATCTTCTTAGGTCTTAATTGGAATCAACAATCTAGACACATGTAACATAATCAAAATAGCACATACCACTGTTTTTCTTCCCTTGTGGAATGCACTTCCCCCTCTTTATTTTCCCCAAAGGGTTTCTTATGAAGAGATGTTTAATTATCACACTTTCCAACAAACCTACCAGTTCTAATCCTTGGCTCAGAAGAAGGTAGCCTTTACTCAAAAAAAATTTAATATTCTGAGCTAATTGATCTCAGCCTTGGACAAATTAAAATTGTTTTACTTTACACCTGACTAAGCTTTGCTTTCAATACCTATCTGCAAAGTCAAACCCTATCTTTAAAACACAATTTTCATTATGACTTGGGAGAGCAGGGAAGGCCTAGGAAGGGAGTTGGCTTTTATTTTGCAGGAGGACATTCTGAAAAGGGCAGATACTTATTTTTGAAGTCATTAAGTGGAGAAATGGCAAATGTTCCTCTTATTCTGATACTGAAAACTTGTAAGGCCAGGACCTTTCTGGTCCTGAAACTATAATAAATTACATTGTTTTAAGTACATTCAAAATTTATATTACTCTTTAATTTCTTTTCCCTGAGTTTGGGTTCACAGTTTGGTAGAGATACTTTAAAGAGGTAGGTAGTGGGGGTGAAGAGGAAACTGTTTATGTCTAGCAGCACCTGGGGATGATCTAAAACATCATTTTGATCTCCGTTAACATTTATCTTTCCCCTTTGAATCTGCAAACGTAATAGAGGGAGATGATCATTTTCTTTTTTTTTCTCTTATCTGTATGGACCCTCTCTCCTATTTTATCCACGCCAGTATTAATCACTATTCATAAAAATGAATAGCCCCTCCAAAGACATGTTATAAAATAAAGTCCTCAAGGTGGGGTTGTTTAGATTTAGAAGAGAGGCTCAAGTGAGTAACTTTTATTCATACAGTCATTAGGGAAAGTGAGCAAACCTTCCAGCACCCCCAGCCACTGCCTTTTCTCCCTGGACCTGGCTTATTTAAATCAGTCCTGTCAACAATGGAGTTGATTCTAAGTTCTGGGCCCTAGGAGATCCTGACATCTAACACGGGTGGGGACACCGGTCCAGGTCTTGGCTTCCAGTCTTACGATGGGCTGGTGGAATACTGTTTCATCAGATGCTCGTGGCAGGGATTGCAAACTCGCTCAGGCTTGATACTTGAAGGAAGAGGCAGTTCGTTTGTTGAGCAGGCATTACAGAAAGTTCCTCTGCAGTTCTTACACACATTCTACAAGGAGAAGAGGGAGGTTAGGTGGGGAATAGAAGGGCAGAGCATACGGATGCATGGGATATAAAAGGTCAAATACAGTAAATGCTCAATGCCTCATCAGGTATTGACTGAATGTTTGCTAGGCGCCAGATAGAATCTGATCAAACACCATCTCTGTCTACAAAGAAGCTTACTGTCTAATTCTTAGATCTAAATGAAGAGAAGCAGTGCCAGAGAATTCCAAAGAACGTAATATACAAATAATTTCTCTTTAGAATACTTTTAGTCATTACATTCACTTTTAGGCGGGCTAATTCTAAAATCAGTTTGTAAGTACCTAAGAATAGTCCAAATAAGGCAGGCAGTGAGTGACCTAGCAATGGACTGGGTAGCCAGCCTAGGATTTCAAGTTTTGCCGAGCATGAACCGGAAGTATAATTCCTAATACACTGATGTACTTACTGCTCTCCTAGAATGCTCTATAAGCTCATCCTTTGGGATATCGGTGCAGCAGGAGCACAGCTCCCTGCATCCTCTTTACAGGGAAATTATGCTCTTCATGAAGCATTTTGAGTCTTTAGTGGTCATGCAATGGGGCGGCACGTGGGTTATTATGCAGTGTCACTGGTAAGGCTGTGATAGGGTGGTGCGCACGTAGCTCCAAGGGACCCTATATAAAGGCTGTGAAGAGTCACTTCCCCCATTAATAATGCCACTTTCTCCCAAACAATTCACCTTCCTGACGGTACAGTAGAGGTAGGGGGTCACTTTTGTTTGAAAGCCTGAGAGGAATTTTCCTCCGACATACTGCAGTTACTCTGCATGGCTAAGAAAAGCCAGAATTAGATTAGCAGTTTCTTTATTTGGGGACCTATTTCTAGAATTCCAATTCTAATTCTATAAAGGCAGTTCATCTTTCTCGGATTCTGCTAATGTAAGACTAGATCACGCGATTTTGCTTGTTAAAATTCAGCAAGATCACAAATGGCGGCATGCAGGTTGCAATCCAGAATTTGGGCACATTTCCTTATCTCTTCCAAACACCTGTTTCTTAGTCATTTGTCCATTTCTTGAGCATCTACAATGAAATGGGCACCATATTACATTCTGGGGGATACTACTGTGAGTGGGTCAAAGACCTGGCTATCAGAACACTCACTGTATCTGAACACTTCCTTCACTGCCTACTCTAACAAACTGGGGAAGTGCTCTGCCAGAGACCCCTCATGATCCGAGGGGAAAACAAGTGGTTTTGGTGGAGAGGGCTCATTTCCCTTGCAGAGGCTGATTCTCCAAATAATTCAAAGAGTTTCCTCCCCCCCCATGCCCAACTATCTGATTTGTTCTAAGCAGGATGAAGTATTAGAGGAGTATAGATTTTGGGGCCAAAGTCAGGTTGCAACCTGTGGGCTTTGCCACTTATGACTTGAGTCAACTTTGAGAAGTACTTAAAATCTCTGAGCCCAAGGTTCTTCATCTATAAAATGACGGCACAAAGGAGACAAGCTTTACAACAGGGACTTGGTCTACGCTTGTTCATTTCTCTTTCTCCAGCACATGAAACAGCACATTCCACACAATAGGCACTCAATAAACATTTAGTTATAAATTTAATCTTTAAAAGTTATTTATATTTATTTTAATGGGGATTTACTGACATGACTTACTATGACTGAAAAAAATACCTATTTTTTTAAACAGGTATTTTATAAATGCTTTTCTTTTTTGCTCTTCTCCCCACTCTGTACACAGTAAAGTCCCTATTATTGAAAGGGACATCCCTATGAAGAACCTGTTTGGGTCTCACCACTGTTGCCTTGGTTCGGCTGCCATCTTCCTGGCACAGCTGACACGTCTGTGGCTTTTCAGAGAGCACTGGCTGATCCTAAACCACATATTAAGCCAGTTAGTTTCTCTTAGCCCCAGAAATATCAATACTTTCAGAATATTCATTTTCTTAGTTGCGAAATTAACAGAACCACACTACAGACTATCTGGAAACTAAAGAAACAAATGACATATGGTTCTAACACCTTAATACAGCTCTGGGAATCCCATCAATATCCTTGGAGCTCTTTTTATTTTTATAAAAAAGTAACGTGACTTTATTTATAAAAAGTCTAGGATACGAGTATGAAGTAGAAAGTTAAAAAAAGGCCCGTCCCTCTTGTCCTACTGTATCAAGAATGGAAAGCAGTAGGCTCAGTCAGCCACATTTATCATCTTTCTTGTGCAGTTGTCATATCCTATTATACTTGCAAAGTATCTTGCAACCATTTATATTTGTTTATTTCCAAGTGATCAAGACGCATTTTTTCTGTTTTATGGAAGGGAAAACTAAGAGAAAAAGAGGAACAGTGAGGTCTCTTAGGTCCCACGGTATGGCAAAGAGAATTTCAAGTAAGAAGTGAGACCGGCTGTTTACTTAGTAAATTGCTCAGAGCTCCGCTACTTCTGGTGACAGTTTCAGGCAAATGCGTGTTTGTTAAGGGTGCTGTTAAAAGGATGGGCCCCAGGGGCCTGTGTGCATTCACCGACGTTCCAGGCTGCCCGTGTACAGCTAGGGGATAGTCCAGCCAACTACGTAATTCATACCAGACGTCCGAGGACGGGAGAGTCCATTACCTGCTCATCCACAGGGTGAGACTGCAGCCTACAGCGGAGAATTAGAAAGAGGAACAAACAGCAACTTATTATATTTCTATGTGAATCATTCAAAAGCACAGAAAAAGCAACAACATGGTTTCTTTATGTTGTTGGGACTGACACAGTTGTCAATCTTGACCTCCAAGGAGAGGAAATTTTGGTTGTTAAATCTATTAGCAGAATCTGATCCCTGACCTACATTATGGTTCCTGTTTAAAAACAGACTTGGAGTTATATTCTATGCTTTGTTTTTACTACCAAGAAAATAGTTTAGCATTTGTATCCCAGCCTGTAAAACTCCAATGGCCAGTGCTATCCATTTTAATATCTTTTGTTGTATTAGTCTCCCCATTATATGTCATGTATTAGTCCCCTCTTCCAGATGTCCTTAAAATGTGAACTTTTTCAGCAAATTAATCAGGGTAAGGGGAATGAATGAGACTGTCACGGGAGTACCCATTCAGGCTGAACTATTTCTTCCCAAGACCCACCTGAGCTCACCCTGATTTTCCCAATTTGGAAGAGAATTTAAGAGGAGCAGTTCTGGGGATAATACACCACAGATCCACAGTGGCTCTGAGTCTCTTCCACAGAGTGGCAGTGTGACCACCAGTGTGAGCAGGTTTCCAAGCTGTTCCTTGGACCATAATCCCAAGAAACCTGGCGATGTTTTAGGATTGTTGTTCCGGCCAGGACAGGCTTTGGAAGCAGCTATTGCATCGAGCAAAGGGATCAACAAAGAAAACAATGTAAGCAGAGGCCACTTATAGGTGAGACACCTCGCCTCTCTGTGCTCCTCAGTTTTCTCATCTGGAGAATTACTTTTTTTTTTTTTTTTTAGATTTTATTTATTTGAGAGAATGAGATAGAGAG